CTGCCTTGCACACTCTGGGTATAAAAAACAGCACCCACAGCGGTCGGGCAACGAAAATGACAGTATATTTATAAGCTACTAGAACGAATTACTTTAAATAAGTGTACTTGGACTGATAGTACGCTTGACGATAGCTGCGCAAATCGCCATGTAGTTGGATGCGCACACGAACCTCGCCTTCCCTAAATCCCGAACCTGTGAGTATTGTGTCCTGATTGAATTTTGACGTACGAGGCGGCCATTCGGTGCGTCGGTGTGTAAAGTGGAAGCCACATATCCTCGATGCAGCCATGTACAAAGGAGGCCAGCGGAATCGCGCACACTGCGACGTCTTCCTTGATCCATGCGTTGGCATTGACGATGCGCAGTACAACGGTCTCAGCCGCAGGGTCGTCGACGCGGATGTGAAAAGTCTCATTCCAGAAACCACCTTCTTCGCGGTCAATCCTGGTCTCCGCTTCAAATACTGATCGCTTGTGCTTTCTTGATGCGAGCTGTACGGCGCAGTACGGTGCATCCATGCCCCAGAAGCTCGTGTGCCGCAGTCCCCTTGCTTGAACGACCTATCAGCATAGAACGATAAGAAAGGCATGTGAATGCATATATGTCGCACCGTGAGCGAGAGGGCGAGAGGCCCCCACGGTGCGGTCGGCAGCGGACGCGTCGTCGACGGATCATTGCCCATGTGCTCGGTGTATCGGGTGATTTGATGATTTGAATTGACCACCCTGCCTGCTTTCGACGTTGACAGCCCACTCGTAGAAGCCAAGGTTCACCCAATTTCACTGATGTGCAATGGGCGGGACAGAAAGACACGCACCGCATCCTAACCTCGCGCATTTGAAAATGCTAAACGTATTAAGTTGGATTATGAAGTGCACGAACTTCAAACACAGACGGTCGCCAGAACGGGTCGCGCCAACGACGCGACGCCGTTGACTGCGACTGGTTCTGGGGCTGAAGTTTTCCACTAACATCCTACTCTAGGCCAGTTTTGCGATCGCAAATAACGATGCTCTCTGTCGCGCACTTTGAGTAAACGAGCGAAAAACGTACGCTGGCGCACGGTATATCGTTCTCAATGTAGAAAGTCTGAACGCACTCAGAGTTTGTATTGGGTCTCCTGTGGTGAAGCCGTTCTATTTGCCGAAAGCTCGAGGACACGTTCTTCCTGGACCTCAGAATGTCTTGAAGAATCCGACCGAGTGACAAAGGCAAGCGGCAAACTGCACCTTCAACTCTGGCAAGGACACGACCAAAGAGCCACAGAGAAGGACACGCGTCTGCGAAATGCCACCAAGGAGGTTGCCGTATTGGCTGCCGTCGAGTACTGTGGAGTACGCGTATCTTTACAGCGGTGCAGTATTTTCACACTATTTTTAGCAATCGATTTTAGATGAAAAATGCGATACAAGTTATGACCGCCGTGACGCACAGCGCGTGATATCACTCGGCCACAGGTCTGGGCTACGGTATCGCGAAAGTGCGCATTTGCTCATCATGAGAGTGCTGGAGTGCTGGTGTACCGGGTGCGTATTGCAGTCTTCTGTGCAAGTGGCTCTGTGACGCGCCGATATCACCAGAGCATTCCGCAATTTGATTGGCCTTTTAAGGTGCTTGGGAATGCGATGCGCGCATCTCTGGTTCGATTTACACTGTACTAGTACTCGGTGCACGTACCACGGTACTGTACATGAATTTCTGTCCATGCAGCGAGAGTGATGGTGGTGTGATGCGCACGCACGTCAAGACCCTTTGCAACCTGGCAACATACCGACAGTTGTTTGGGTGGTATAAGATAGAGAAGCAGCGCTTTCAAGCCCCTACCCTGCGTGGTCGGTCCATTGTCAACTTGTCAACGTATTGGGGTAACGTTACTTTACAATGTCAGCGACCGGCAGCTCTTGACTTCCTCCCACTACCGGTACTAGGTAATCCCGCACAGTCAATCCACGTCGGAGCACGAACCCTGTCCACATACTACAGTCTAACCTGTCTAGAGGCAAGGCCCATTTTTCTTGCCTTTAGCGAATTATCACTTACGAGAGTTTTTTCTCTGACCGCCATGTCAGTGTGTGCTTGGTATGATGTGACGGAATTCGACCAGACGGCCATTACGGATGCACAGGTCCTCCATAGGTGTTTTACATGGCTTCTTCGCTCAGGGGGAAAGAAGGGCGCGAGGCCTGCATTACCGCTGCACCTCGGGTGAGGCGTGGCGGTTCCCCCAAAGGCCATGCGGCTGGCCAACTGAGCGATCACCACACTGTCGATGAGCGCGTAGACCTTGAACGTGTCTGCGCCATCGACCAAGCATCCGGGTCGTCGGATCCTGGCGCCACACTTGAGCTGCACCATGGGCCCGCCGCTTCGCCGCGAGTGCATCGTGAACGCTGTTGGTTCCTTGCCGAGCTAAGCTGCTGCGCGGCGGATGAGCTATCTGACTTGGAGCTCCGTGACCGGCACGGCGACACCGTGTTGGTTGACGGATGTGTAGAGGGGGTCGCCTTCCGACGCGCCGGCTCACAGTGCAAGCCTTGCAGCTCCCACAGAGCTGGAATCGGGCAGAGCTATGTGCTGGCCGAGCGGGAGAGGGGAACATCGTGTCGTCACCGCGTTGATCGGCCTTCGAGCTCGGGATGACGGGAACTTCGACTTCTACCGTCCGCGCCACTGTCTCAAAGCGGGTGGTGAGCCAGACGTCCCTGACCCGGACGCCGTGCGTTGCGGGTCTGAACCCTTTGTGCGAGTAGTCGGACTTGCGCAAATGAGAGACGGAACCCAGCAGCGCAGCCCCCAGAGAAAGCGCTGCTGGGGGCGTCGAAGTGAGGCCGGCGCGCATGTACCAGAGCATGATGATGCTAGCGGGCTCCTTGCGTTGGGCGGGTCTATCGGTTCGGTTCCTGGCTCGGAGGACGAGCCGATGGTCGGGTGCCAGCGCCACGTTGTGCATTCGATGCACGTGATGATACC